CCTAAAAATCTGATTTATACTAATAAAATCACACTAAATTATTTTTTACAATAAACATTGATCCTCTTTTATTATAGTATGTTAAATATATATACAGTATTATTTAATTAATTAATCATTATCTAAATTAAATTCTTATCTTGTTTTATAATATTATTTTATTTTTTACTAATATTTAATATAGTATTTATTATTAAAACATTAAATATTTTATAATCTATAATTTCAATTATTATAGTAGGTTTAATTATAGTTTTAAATTATAAGTTAAATTTTTGATATATTAATAAAATTTTCTTTTATATTTAATAACTAATTTTAGAAAGTTGTATTTAGTTATCATATGTATTAGTTATATTTTAAATTTATAAGTAAATTTTTCTGAATAATTTGTTAATATGTTAATTAATTTATCTTATATTTAATATAAAAAAGTGAAATAATATTAAATACAAATTCTTAATATTTTTAAGTTTGTAAATTTAAATTTTATTTTTTAATATTGATAAATAAACTGATTTTATTTTGAAATATACATCAATTTTTTATACATTGAAATAATAAATAATTACATCGAATTACCGCGTAAATTAACCCATTATTTGTTCGTGGTTCGGGATTTTGTCTTTATGATGCTAGACAATTTATTGCTTTCTGAACTAATGTTGGCATATTTATCCTTGGCTAATCCCTTTTATAAATTTATAGAAAAAATTTATTTCATATTAATCGAATGGTATTCTTTGTTCTATCAATTTAATCATTTCGATTTCAAAATTTCTTTTCAGTATTTTTTTTTTAGTTGGCTTTTTATTCGATAAAATGTCTGAATTATAAAATGATTTTAAAATAGCATTTGAAAAATATTATTAAAAAAAAACCTGTAGACATTTACAAAAAAAATTTATTCAAAAGTAGCATTACTATTCATTAAATAATTTGAATAATCGATTAATTTTTAAGTCGTTCGGATGTCTCTTGGATTCCAAATCTCTTGCACGTTCCGAATAATTAAGTGACAAAAGTAAGTTGAAAGGATTGTTTTATTGAACATTCTCTTGTTTCAACTCATACTAAACCTTCGTGATCGAATAAGATACTTTTTTATACTGACATTAAAAAATTTGTGATCAATGCTATTTGCATCTACTACGATGAGGACGTTGAGTAAGGTTAGAATCTCCAAAAAAAAAGAACCTAAATGATATTTAAAAATAATAGAAATATAAAATAACGTTAACAAAGCTCTTCCGCCCAGTCATTTCCTAAAAGCACCCTGGAAAGAGTTTTATGTTTGGCGTCGAAATACTTCGAGGCAGTATGATCCGGTACATACTCACACAAATGACTAACCCAGGGGACTTGCTACCAACATATGTAAATCATATCTCTTCAACAAGGACGTTGAGCATAATGTACCTAAAGTGCATTAAAAGCAATACAAATCTAAATAACGTTAGCAAAGATCTTCCGCCCAGTCATTTCCTAAAAGCACTCTGGAAAGAGTTTTATGTTAGGCGTCGACCGCAACGCTTCGAGACATGTCCGTTACATACTCACACAAAGGACTAATCCAGGGGCTTGCCAAGAATATATGTAAAAACATACCTCTTCAACAAGGACGTTGAGCATAATGTACCTAAAGTGCATTAAAAGCAATACAAATCTAAAATAACGTTAGCAAAGATCTTCCGCCCAGTCATTTCCTAAAGCACCTTGAGAAGAGTTTTATGTTTGGCGTCGACCGCAACACTTCGAGGCAGTATGACCCGTACATACTCACACAAAGGACTAATCCAAGGGCTTGCCAACAATATATGTAAAACATACCTTTTCAGCAGAGACGTTGAGCGTCAGTTAAAATCTCCGAATACTGTATATATATACTCCTTTGTTCTACAAATAAAGAACTTCGATATTAATCTTTTCATTTTCAATTTTTTTTTTTTTAAAATTTTTCATAGAAGGAAAGAAAACCCGCTGGTTGTCTCTCACGTTTAACCGTCCACCTATTTTCTTCACACACGACTTTTAAAAATCCCGGTTGAAAACAAAATAACTGATAAAATGATGCTTGATGTTAAAAAATAAAGAAAAGGGTTTGCAAATTAAATAAAATAAAGGTGGGGATATAGGGAATATATAGGATTCTTACGCGTTACGTATTCTATGTAACTTTAAAATAAAATATAATTTTAAAGAAAAAAAAATTTTTTTTTTTTATTTTTATTTTTATTTTTTTTTGGGTTTAGTTTTACTCGAACCCATTACTCGAGAGTTGAATGTCAAGTGCTTTCTTTAATATAACGATAAGTCTCAACTGATTTTCAAATATATCACATGATATTGCTCACCTGATTGAGTTAAAGATTTAAATAAGGAAATTCGTTACAAGAAGATAATTACAATATTTTTATTATTAAAAAAATAAACGCTAATTTCCTCTCCTCTAAAAATTACAAATAACTTTTGCCAAAATTTTTGAACATGATCTTCCTGAATTTTCACGTTTTTGACAAGTTCTAATATTTGTATTCCATTTCAACTATATTCACAAAATATTTTTTGATTCTAGATCAAGCTGGTATTATTTGTGTGGTCTTCCTTTGTAAAAGAAAAGTTCCGTTCAATTATTACATTGTTAGAAACAGCATAGATATTAACATTAGTGTCATCATTAGAGAAAATATGTAAGAAAAGAGGATCTAGTGAAAACTGATGAATTACTTCCTAAATGATGTCGTGAATGAAGTTCTAATTGAAAAGTTGAAGTCTTTACATTTGTTTGACAATACTGATGAAAGCATGAGAATGACGATCGTTAACAGATAAATGTCATATTACACCTTTGGGTTTGCTATTGCAGTGACAAATGCAAGGTAATATATTGGATATCATACAATATCATAGATGAAATTTCTTTAAAAATAATAATAAAATAAATAAAATCAAATTAAAAATGCCTTTTGTGCTTAATGTATATTATTTAATTTTTAAAATTGTATATAATAAACTGTATTTATATTCTGTATTTAACTAACTATAATTAATATTTAAAAGAATTTTAATTTTAAAAAGTATTTGAACTTATTATTCAGATATATAATTTTTTTAAAGTAAATCTTCTATTAAATTATATTAAGTGTAAGTAAGCAAAATTGTAACA